CTTGGATGGAATGCCTCGTTTCCAGTAAAAAAGGTCTCTGGTTCTCTACCCTCACCATACGAAACACACTGGTATTCTGTTAAAGCGTGGTCCTACCCAGGTCGAGCCAACCTATGCGTGCTACAACGATAATATAGCTGCAGCTTGGTTTACATATAAAAGTCGAAGTCGAAATTGAAGCAGTTGTAACACGAAAAATTTAACATTGAACGATATAGCTGTAGGAGTTTATCTGGGCTGAGTTTATCTGGGCTATTCCGATAGTAAAATGATTGACATCGGATGCTGTACGTGACTGATATAACGTGTTGACCAGACTTGATATCGTGATTAAGTGACTTATACCTCGGTCAGTGATCTGACCTCCAACACGATTGGGTGTATCGTTCAATCTGAATAGATATTGTTTATCTGCCTAAAGTTACGTCGCAACTCTAAAAAGTTCCTTGACTTTGTTTTACTTTCCATGACTTTTTCTTTCATAATTGTGGCGCCATTTTGGAATACGGTGAAATATTTGGCGTATCTATGTTCCGAAATAGAACCTAGTATACTGGTTAATGCAAATGACGTCATAAATATACGCCATACTTGTGATTCTTTATATCGAATATGGCGGTTATGGCGGCAATTAATGACGTCATTTTCATTCGGCGGTATACTGGGTACATTTCGGAACATACCCCTATAAATTTCATAGGGGGTAGTTAATTTGTAAGGAAAATTTCAGGACTAGTTTCTTTCTGTAATACTAGTAAACTATACTTTTCACTTATTTTATATTATGTCTATACATAGTTATATAATATAATAATAACTATAATATAATATTATAAAGAGGAAAGATTTTTTGTTTGTTTGTACCGAATAAGCTCCAAAACTACAGAACCGATTTTAATCCTTTTTACACCAATAGAAAGCTAAATTATTAGAAAGTAGGAGCCTGTAATTTATTTAAAAAAAATTAAAGATCCTTAACAAAATTGCAATAATTAACACGAAGTACTGTGGACTGTGTGCTCGTTTGTCACCCTTATACTATAAAAAAAGGTATAGAAGAGAGCTTGAGCAGCTTAAAATGAATCACGTCCGGTAAGGCAACGTTTTCATTTACAATCAATTTATTTGTTTTGGTACCAAAAATAAAGAAAGAGCAACAAGTTACTTGCGGCACTTATTCTATTATTTATTGTTTGTACTGTATTGTATTTGTATTGTATTTTTTGTAGAAAGTGCGACTGCTGATCATGAGGTCATAGGTTCGAATCCCAGGTCGGGCCAAAAAGAAATTCTCAGTAGCTGCCCGGAGTCAGTAAGTTGGCGGTGTCCCAGTCTCACCCCCGTGCCTCGGAAAGCACGTAAAGTCGTTGGTGCTGCGTCTGATATCTCTCCGGTCGTGTCGGTTTACCGTCCCATCGGACTATGAGAGTGAGGAAATAGAGAGTGCACCTGTGCTGGCGCATGCACTCGGGACTATAATCCTGTCCTGCACCGATGGCTAGTCTCCGTTGAGGCTGGTCGTCGTGACCGGAATTCGAGCTTAATATCGTATAATTATCGTCTTGTAGGTCTTTTACGAGGCAACAGAGGAAAATGAAATATAAGATCGACAGCAGGATCTTCCTTATGACCTTAAAATATCACAGCGCGTGGCAGCTATGGCAAATGGCCCCACTACGAAGCAATCTATCATCATCATTAGAGCCCTTCACAAGTCCCCTGCTGAACATAAGCCTCCCCTAAGGTATGCTACAAAGCACGGTCCTGAGCCACCTGCATCCACCGACTTCCTGCATGTCTTACCAGGTCATCAATCCATCTTGTGGGGGGTCGCCCTACACTTCACCTACCGGTACGCGGCTGCCACTTGAGAACCTTTTTTCCCCAAAGGTTGTAGATTCTTCAAGCTATATGGCCGGTCCATTGCCACTTCAGCTTACTAATCCGTTGGGTTATGTCGGTCACTCTGGTTCTACTGCAGATATCCTCATTTCTAAGTTTATCACGCAGAGATTCCCCGAGCATAGCTCTCTCCATAGCTCGCTGAGCGACTTTGAGCGTCCTCATATGGCCAGCAGTGAAGAACCACGTCTCTGTTCCATATGTTATCACTGGCAGCACGCACCGATTGTACAAATTCTTTTTCAGGTTTTGAGGTATACCTGACGAGAAGATGTAACGTAATTTCCCGAACGTTGCCCAGCCAAGTTGAATCCGTCGATAGACCTCTCGGTCGAACTTGGAATTACCAGTCGGACTTATGTCCCAGGTAAATGTACTCAGCCGAGTTGAATCCGTCGATTGACCTCTCGGTCGAAGTTGGACTTACCTAGTCGGACTATTTGTCCCAGGTAAACGTACTCGTCAACAACTTCGAGTATAGTGCTCCCAACAACTACCGGCATAGGTGTGACATGGACATTAAACATGATCTTTGTTTTGTCCATGTTCATCTTAAGACCTATCCGTTGGGAGACACCATTGAGGTCATTGAGCATAGTGCTAAGGTCCTCCAGCGATTCTGCCATAAGGACTATATCGTCGGCAAATCGAAAGGTAAGTGATGTACTCGCCATTGATGTTAATACCGTATCCTTTCCAGTCCAGTAGCTTGAAAGCGTCTTCCAATGCAGCGGTGAAGAGTTTCGGGGATATAACGTCACCCTGTCTTACACCTCTCTGCAGTTGGATAGGTTTCGAACTCTGGTTCTGTAATCGGATAGCCATCGTAGCCCTGCTGTACAAACACTTCTGCACTTCGATATACCGTCAGTCAACTTGGCACCGCTGAAGGGACTGTAGCACCGCCCAAATTTCGACGGAATCAAAGGCCTTTTCATAGTCCACATACGCCAGGCAAGTGGCAGATTGTACTCTTCGGACTTTTGTACAATCTGCCGCAGGGTATGAATGTGGTCTATGGTACTGAAGCATTTTCGGAAACCGGCTTGTTCGGGAGGCTGAAAGTCGTCGAGTCTGCGTGCGAGACGATTCGTAATAACTCTCGAAAACAGCACGTAGACGCGGCTCAGAAGGGAAATCGGTCTGTAGTTCTTCAAGAGAGCGTTGTCGCCTTTCTTAAAGAACAAGACCACCGCACTTCTGCTCCACGCCTCCGGAGTAGTGCCACCATGGAGGACGGAATTAAAAAGCAACTTTCCAAGGCGCAGGTTCGGCCATGCATGGAATACTGTTCCCATCTCTGGGCTGGGGCTCCCCAGTGCGAGCTCCTTGCACTTGACCGCATCCAGCGCTGAGCGGCTTGAATCGTCGACGACCGAATGCTTTTCGATCGGCTCGATTCACTGGCGCTGCGAAGAGATGTTGCATCTCTTTGCGTATTTTATCGCATCTATCACGGAGAGTACTCTGAGGAATTGTTCGGATTAATCCCAGCCGCCAAATTTCATGAACGCACTACGCAGCAAACCTCCCGATACAATCCACAGCATCTGGATGCTTGGCGGTTCACCACTGTACGTTACACAAGTTTTCTTCCGCGTACGACCTCTGTGGAATAGCTTACCACCTGTGATTTTGCCGAAATTTGATACGGTGTTGATGGGAGACTTTAACGCAAAACTAGGCACAAGAGAAAGCGGTGAGCTGAGGTTAGGGAAATTTGGAATAGACCAACGGAACGCAAAGGCCAGCAGCTGGCCCACTTCACGGAGAAGGCATGGCTTTTTTAAATCCAGGTCTACATGCACAAATTTAAGAAGCCTTATTGAGTATCCTCCGACAGTAAACAGCAGATCGATGTCTTGTATACTGATTTTAGCAAAGTTTTCGACAAAAAACCTCAAGTTCAATAAACTAGCATGTTATTGGTTTGCTGGTTCTTTTTCAATATGCTTTGTAGAGGATCGAACTTTTTACATTGTGTTCAACGGCTTTCAATCAGATAATTTTAGTATAACCTCATGTGTGCTACAAGGATCACATTTTGGACCTATACTTTTTTACTTTTTTATTTACGACATCCCAGACTACTTAACCAACTCTTATGGTTTTATTTGATAACCTGAAATTCTTAAGACATAATATAAACTCAATATTATTGCAGAGAGAAATGAAATATCTTATTGATTGGTTTATAGATAACAGAACGACACTAAATCCGAAAAAATGTCAATACATTTTTACCTTGGGTTTGTCATACGAAATAACAAAGGATTCAGCATCAAAATTATAATAGTATCGTTCATAGCATAATAAATAGGATAAATGTAAGGAGCTAACACTTGTTTATATACAAAATTCTCAACAACAAAACTAGTTTCCCAGTTACTAAACGAGTTTGAATTGAGTGCTTCTGCAAGACGACCGCGTCATGCGATAGCACAACTGATACCATCAACCCACAGAATTCTAGCTACAAACACATAGTTGATGTAAACTTTGATTTCCCTTACAGGATTGTCGACAGTATGGCTAGTACTTAATATTGTGCAAACAGCTTGTGTATTCTATTACTATACGGATAAACTACGTTCATATTTTTTAAAATTGTTCACTTTATTTTACTGAAATAAAAACCTTTTAAGGTATAGCGCATGGTGTGTTTACTAGTAAGTAGTCACTACTTTTAGCTTAAGAAACTACTGTTATTAAAGATGTCATTGTGTAAGTTGACTGTTAGTAAGCTATATGAATAAATTAAAATAAAATCTATGCGAGAGCCCTATATTCTCAGAACTTTTGTTATGCTCTATAAATAAATACTCTCCCTCTTGGTATCACTTAATCAATATTTGAAGCGACAGTAGCCTAATGGCAGGGCGCGGACCGCGAACTCAAAGAGGTTGTGGGTTCGAATCCGCCATTCGACTACTGGCGTGAACCACTCGTAACGCAAGCAATTTAAGCTTACCACGAGTGGTTAAGGGGAATATTATTAATGTTTATAACTTTGTTAATATTCTTTTTTTAAAAAAATACGGGTCATGAAATGAAACAAGGATAGTTTGTAATATTATTTTATTTTAGTAACTAATAATTTATTGATCCGAGTCGCTGGAGTCCGTGTCGGGAGCCGAGTCCACGTCGACGGTGAACTTGTACTCCTGGTCGGCGCCGAGGTACGCGTCCGACATGAAGTAGAGCGTGTAGGTATGGCGGCCGGGCGCGCCGCACACGAAGTCCAGCCGCACGCGCGCCGCGCGCCCCAGCGACACGCGCTTAATGGACAGCAGGCTGTTGCTGCGCGGCTCGCCCACCACCACCCACCAGCCCTCCTCGCGCTTCTGTATACACAGGCAAAGGCAACTGTACAGATACTGCCTAGTTTGGTGTGTCTAAAGGCAAAGGCAACCATATTTATTAGAGATGAAACGGATATCCGGTAACTATCTTGTATTGGGCCTATCCGGCCTGAAGTTACTATCCGGCCTCATACCGGATAAAAAAAACACAATATCAAATTTAGTTAAGTACTACAAATATAATCAGTAATCACAAAATTTTCATTTTAAAACTTTCAAAATTCGTACTCATACTGCGCTAAGGCATAGAATATATAGTCTACGTAGCTAAGGGAAAATTATAGTGAATAAATATTAATTTCTCTGCATTGAAAGGTAACAAGCGGTTTCGCCTGTTTTCATAAATAAGGCCAGCTTCAGAAAAAAATCTTCCGCTGTGTACACCGCTGCAAGGTGCTGAAAGATAGATTTTGACAAACTGATAAATTTGGGTATTGTGTAGCAATACCTGCCCAACAAAATATAAAGGTCACGATCGCGCACAGTTTGCACTGACTTTACTTTTCGCTTCTTGCGATGCAACAAACGGCAATGTTCGGCAGAATATCCGGCTATCCGGCGATAAGACTGGCCGAATATCCGGTATCCGGTCAAACAGCTATCCGTTTCATCTCTAATATTCATACAGCCTAATACAATGTGCATTTTGTGAACAAAGTATACGTTAAACAGCAAACTTGCTCCCAGATAACCACCTACCAAACTTCGTCGTATAGGTTGAGATAGGTTTTTTACTTTTAAGTTTTCTAAATAATTTAATATTTATTAAGCGGTATGACCCTCGTCGCGCATACAAAACCCATCTACAAACCCATAGGTTTCACCCTTCTATCTATTTCTACTGCGTGTGTGATTTACACAATTCTAAAGAGTATTAAGAATAAATAAAAGTACAGGTTGTAAAATATTCCATCTTCATTCCCTAATAATTATCAACAGTCTTCCCTAGTTTGAATTTGGTTACAGATGGTCCCGTACTACAGTAACCATTCACAAACAAGTGGAATATTAGCTTATTTTCTACACAGATCTTATCTCTCTCTGTCGTACCGTACCTGTGGGAAGAACGGTGCGATGACCGGTCCAACGATCTCGTCCTCTCTCTCCAGCGACACTTCCACTACGATGGGTTTGCCTACGCGCAAACGCCGTTCGTTCTTAACCTAAAACAAAAGAGAATTTGATTCAATATTATAGTATAGTCGGGAAAAAGAGAATTGATAGACACTAAAATTATTTAATTGATAGGGCTAGGGTACCACATGAAACCATCCATCCAGCGTTATAAGTCCACTACTAGACATAGGCCTTCTCCATAGTTGCCATGCTTGGCAAGTGTGTTGGCAACTGCAGTTTATTCTTTTGTCATAATTAGAACACCGCTGCTATCTCCCCTGATCTTGTCGTTTCCTACGACACCCACGAGATGATATGGTTAGTGGATATTCTTACACCGTCACTACCCTAGAGAGTAGATTTACCATAGAAATAACCATTGCTAGAATGGACCTGGGATGATGAAGATGGTGGGTATTTGGTACTTACCTCATAGGTGAGTTCTACGTTGGGATATCTGTTGCAGAAGCGAGCCACGTCGGCCATTTCTGTGGGCGACAGTTGAAGCAGCTTCGCGCGTGCGTTGTCCTCCAGCTCCATCACATCAAACACCGTCTCTACTCCCTGATGATGAAAAGTTACAAAGTTAGAGTCTTGATACGTCCCGCAGCTGGGCACAGGCTGCCTCTGAGAGGGTTATATATTTATTTAATGTTTATTGCAAGATACCTTAAAGTAAGAGTTACAATGGGCGCACTTAATGCATTATGGAATTCTTATTCAGTTAACCCTGGGACAAATAAAAGTAAACTAAAAATATAAATGAAAATTACATGTATATGTTATATTGAAATAACTGTCTTTTATCAAGCTCGGAGCGTTATTTGTATCCCCCCTGTCCCGTACCTGCATGTTTAGATTCACAGTTGGACTCAGTTAGAACCCAGTGTCGGCACCATAGAATTCTATAATACAAAATAGAATGGCTGTCAACTTTATTTTATACGAGGATTGGCGTCGCCAAACCCGATTCGCTGTGTTGACAGACTGAATAAATTTATACATTTTAGACTTTTGATTAATGTTCAAGATCATCTAATTTTATCATATTTATTTGTACTAGGGTGCAATTTGGCATTTTCTAAATAATTTTCATGCGAAATTTGGAAACGATTGTAACGTCAAAACACATCTCGTGTTGACATTTATACGTGTGAATTGACGTGCTAGTGACATTTAGTGGCTACACGGGCTCCGCCCACACCCCCGTTCTATTATGTCTGTATTATAGTATTCTATGGTCCGGTAACTACCCAGTGTCGGGCAACAGAAATAACTCGTGCGAACTTGGCGCGGATCGCATGTATTTTATTTTAATTGAAATAAATAAATTATAATTTAATCGCCGGAAAAAAATTACGTTCGAGTTCTCGTTTTTGTTCAAGCGATAAACATAAAATATTATACGATAATATAAAAGGCTAATTGATGAATTAGATTCTTAACCGGCCGCATTTTTAGATTCTTTTTTTTTCTTATTTATTTAGGTATTTCTGTTAGTGAACATGTCGATTCTATTATAACTAAGTTAAAAATCTATAAATTTACTCAATGCTATATCCAATATGTAGAATGCCTTGTACTATACTCTTATTGTACACATTATCCTGTATGTACACCTTATAAGCAATTCCCTTGCCCCTAGGTTCCGCCCACATTCCATTAAAAATAAGTCTTCTATTACTCCCCAATTTCACAATCAGGTGAAGCAGTTCTTTTCATCAGATAAGAAAATTTACAAGGAGTCTTACCTAGTAAAAAGTATAATTAATTAACCCTTTTGAGTAGACCAAACAATAACTAAAGTCACATGAGTAAAGGAACCGTACCGTACAGAGGCAAAGTTTCATATTACAAGCTTATGGCGCGTGTGCGTGAGCACTGGTGGTTCATCACGTACATAAAGAAATTGCTTTAAACCGTCTCGGCTAGCACTCAAACTTGCGTTATATAAAAGTAATAAGTGTAAATTATTATTTTTTAATGAATATATTTTTGTCAAATGAAATAGAAAAAAGTGTATGTTTTATTGGTAATATTAATGCATTATTTACTGTATTGTGTATATGAACAATAATAGAACAAATACGGTCAAAGTAGAGCCGTGCTGCATCTATATTATGCCTGTAGCACAAATGGTTCGACTCGACCGGGGAAGGACCACGCTCTCACAGAATACCAGTGTGAAATAGCAGCTTAATGCTGCTGTGTTTCGTATGGTGAGTGTAGAGAGAACCGGAGACCCGTTTTTACTGGAAACGAGGCATTCTACGTTAGTCCTCAGGAGTGGTAACGCATTTACATTTTAATTCTTAATCGAGGACAGATGTACATGTCCATGAGCTACAGTATCCAGTTACATTCAAGTGGACTGTGTGCTCGTTTGTAACTCTTACCCTATAAAAGAAAATACAAATATATCATTTTAACTATCCCAAAGACTCCACTAGGTAAGTAATAACTTGAGTTTAATTTATTATTTTTAATGTACTGGATATACATATAGGGGGGGTAGTGGGTGGGGGTCATTCGGTTTCTATTTTGTTTTTTTTTTCCTTTTTCCTGGGGGCGCGTTTTTATTTTTTTTTTTTTTTTCCCATTTCTTTTTTTTTTTCGTCTTCTTTTTTTTTTTTTTCTTTGTCTTGTCTTTTGAAAGCAGGGCGTTTGATTTCAAACCCTTTTGCCCGTTTTTCATCTGTATTTTTTTTTTCCTTTTAGGCGTTTCCGTGGTTTCTTCAATATTGATAAACATGGTACCTACCTACCTATATGTGATTGGAGTAGTTATTTGCTAATGTTTATCATTAAATATTTACGTTTATAAATTAAATACGTAGGAGGTTCACGTTCTTTTTTAAATTATTATTTCACAAACGATAAGAGTGGTTAAAAGCTATCCAAAAGATCTTCTATAGCAACTTTTTTTTATTATAAAGTTATAGATATCAAATTGAGTTTTTAAAAGAAATGCTAAAATTTTTCAGGTAATGAAAATTAATATGAAGAGTTTGTAATATTGGTAATGAAATATTACAACTTGTGCGAGATTGTACATCTCTTATGCCATGTGAGTGGTTTCCAATAGATTATTTACAAAAAAAAAATACATTAGACTTCGAATTCACCATCTCGTTAAAAGCTACGACAAATTATTGAAGAACAAAAATTATAAAAGTAAAATATTTAGAATACGTAGTTCATAAAAATATTAATTGTTAAGTATATAATAAAAGCTAATAAAAGTTATGTTTATTTACTTTTATCCTTCTTTGTCAACCCTATCGAAATAGGGAAACATTTTTTTTATATGATAAGCGTAACAAACGAGCACACAGTCCACCTGATGGTAAGTGAGTGCTGTGGCCCATAGACATCTACATTTATCTTCGATTAAGTTTAAAAACGCAGATGCGTTGTCACTCCTGAAGACTAAGATGGAATGCCTCGTTTCCAGTAAAAAAGGGTCTCCGGATCTCTACACTCACCATACGAAACACAGCAGCATTAAGTTGCTATTTTACGCTGGTACTCTGTAAGAGCGCGGTCCTTCCCCGGTTGAGCCGGACAATTCGTGCTACAACCATAATATAGCTGCAGCGTAGCTCTACCACGTATACGTACATTTTGCCAGCTCCTTAGAAACTTTGCCTATATGATATATTTGACAATAACGTTAATTGTCTATTAAATTAAGTATTTCATCAAATATTTTCTATCAGGAGTGGAATTTTATCTTCAACTTTATATTTAACTTATTTATTGAAGATAATTAAAGAGTACGCCAAGGGTATCCACCTTTGGGTTATTCTTTAATTATCTTCAATAAATAAGAAATACTTAAAATCGGTACACATATCGGCAAAGAGATCGCGTAACATATATAAAAATACACTCAAATTGAGACTTCTTTTTTTAAAGTCGGTTTAAAATATGCTTTGCGTAATCAACTAACCATATAATTTACCGTAAGCGATATCGGCTCGTTGGTCTAGGGGTATGATTCTCGCTTCGGGTGCGAGAGGTCCCGGGTTCAAATCCCGGACGAGCCCAAACATTATTTTATGCCTACGATTTTATCGAAGCGATAGATTTTATATAGGACTGTTTAGTGCCCTACATTAATCCATTTTCTTTTTTATTTAAAAGTACTAGCAACCACTTTGTGCGCTTATCAACCAATGGGATATTTAAAACGAGTTACTGAGAGCTTCCACGACTTGCGCGTCACTTTGGAATGAGCTGAAATAAATAGCGGGGTTAAATTGTAATCAAGTTAAACTGTAATAAAGCTAATTGTTAGGAAAATTTAATAATCACAAAGTAAGTAGTAAGTAAAAAAAAAAGAGTTAAACTTGTGCAAAAAATTAAAGAGCAAATCACTAAGGGATTGTTTTGTGTATTAATATAATACTGTAGAAACTGGTAAACTTTTATTTAAAACTAAACTATCAATTAAATGACACTGTGTAACAAAAACTTCACCTCATTGTAATCTAGCGACATCTGGTGAGCGTAATTTTTTTTAAATATAAGACTAATATTCCTATGGAATTTGTATAGGAATATGATGTAAAGACGTCATAATTTTTATAATCAACCACACTGTTTATATTATAGATTTTATATATAATAATTTTTTTATAGAACAATTGTGAGAAGCGAGCACACAGTCCACTTGATGGTAAGTGAACGCTGTGGTCCATAGACATCTACATCCAGCCTTGAATAAGAATCAAAATTCAAATGCGTCGTCACCCATGAAGATGATGAGATGGAACGCCTCGTTTCCAGTAAAACAGGTCTCCAGTTCTCTACACTCACCATACAAAACACGGCAGTATTACGCTGCTATATTACGCTGGTACACTATGAGAGTGTGGTCCTTCCTCGGTCGAGACGACCCATTCATGTTACAACCAGAAATAAAGTTGTTGCATGGTGGTTGTACCACGTATTTTGTTGTAACAACAATTGTCTAAAACTTGTTCGATTTTACATTATTTATTTTAAAAAAAATTAGTGTGGTGTATATGTTGGTGGTTTGTGTTGGTGTGTGGTGATGTTTGTGGTAGTGTGCGGGAATGTGTGTAATGGCGTGTGTGTTGGTTCGCGTGGTGGCGATGGCACCTTGTCCGCGCAGCGCTGCACGGTCTCCGCGGTGAAGTGCGGCAGCTGGCGCAGGTAGGAGTCCTTGGCCCACATGGCCTGCGTCACCATCTGCGCCAGCTCCATGGCGGCCACGCCCGGCGACAGCCAGCCGCTGCTAGACACCACGTCCACGCACGCCTGGATCAGCCGGATCGCCTGTCCATAAAATCATTGTTGCTATATTGTCGTTTATTGCACTATTTAAAAAAATAATCGTCCGGTCACTACATCAGATTAGATAATCTATAAATCCTTCAAAATACGATACGCAAGGCTGTTTTTTTTTAAAATAGAAATAAAAAACCTAATTTCAATATAAAGGATAGCTGAGCCTGAGTGTTAATCTGCTTGAAATCCAATAATTAACAAAATGAAATCCTAGCCAAATCATACAATTGCAAGACTTCGAAATACTATAAGTTCATACTGAGAGACAGGATTATAGTGCACAAGTGTATGCGCAAGCACAGGTGCACTCTCTATTGCCTCACTCATAATCCGATGGCACGGTAACCCGACACGACCGGAGAGAGATCAGGCGCAGGACCAACGGCCTTACGTGCTTCCCGAGGCACGGGGGTGAGACACCGCCAACTTCCTGACTCCGGGCACTACTATTTATTAATCATAATTAATTCTTTTTGGCTCAACCCGGGATTCGAACCCAAGACCTCATGATCAGCAGTCGCACCACTACAACCACTAGACCAACAAGGCAATCAGTTTTTGAAAAACATAATACATCCACAAAAACAAAGGTACACATATCTGGGAAAGAGCTCAATCCTTCCCACATTTGTGTACCCATTTGTTTGTCGTAAATAGCAGCATTAGTATCAAATATATTTTTAAGCCCCCCAATACGATTTCCTCCTGTATCAGTCACTTACATACATAAATTACACAAGGACACCCCCAGACCCGGTTTAAATATTTGTAGGCCATACAAATATAGTTGCCGACACGAAACGTGAGCACAGATGAACTATGGTGGGGGTTGAGCCAGCGAAGGTACACTGTCGGCCAAAACTATTAGGTACTGTTGTTACTTCAATTCATAATTGAATATTTTCGCTGACATTTTTCGAAATTCTGAGTCGTTAACTCCTTTAACTATACGATGTACAGTAGCTACGTAGACATTAGTCGCCTTAGCAGTCTGTTTATAAACGTCTATCATGTTTTTCTCAATACCCAATTATTTCATGTAACATAACACTGAATAGACCATTTGTCGGGATTGCCTATTTAACACCGAACTCTTTCTTCTCTGCATATTTAGACCAAAAACGAATGCTCGAATTATAACAAAAAAAAAAAACTAACAATAAGAAATATCAAAAACAGTTAAAAACAAGAAATACACAAACAACAATTAACAATGAGGTAACACTACAATTTACAAAAATAAACTAATTAAAAAGTTATCACTAAAATTGCTCTCAAGTGTACGGTAGTCGAATGATACGTGCGAACCCAAAAGACGACGAGAATCGGCTGACGAACCAATCACGTTGATCGTCAGCGTGGTCGACGTCATATCGACCAATAAAAAGTGTGCTCACGACTCGTGGCGGCAATTATGCTTGATTCGTGTAGGATTCGAACCGCGGCCCTCAACGCTGTAACTCATTGCTCGGAATTGCATTAATAGTAATATTTATTGAATCCATTGAAAGTAGTCGTCAAAAGTATTACCATAATACGATAATTTATTTTTAGACAGGTATTATTATTTATTAGTTAGCTGTTTTCTAACATTCAGATAAGTTACATCATCACATTGGCTAATAGAATTGTAATGATGTATGCACGTACGCATTTAAAATAATTTTATTAACATATGTGTGATAGCGTGTCAGGGACTTAAGCATGATTTGCCAGTTTGTTTGCTGGGTGTGAGGTTCATAAGGTAGCTGGTCACCTTGGTGAGCACGATCGCGGTGTCTGCCTGCAGCTCCGCTGGCAGCTGCATGCGAGACAGATGTGCCTGCAGCAGCACGTGCGCCTTCACGTGCGGGTCGTTGTACCGCACCGTGCTCGACCCGGACCCCGGCTTGTGTGGGACCCTGCACACACATTCATAATAATTACCGGCCGTCCAGTGCTCGTAATTCATTCAATATTTAAATTTCTATATTCAGCTTGAATTTCACTTCCAACTACACATTAATATGTGTAGTCCCAGACCAATACTTGAGATAACCTAACCTAGGATAACGTCACCTTTGTAGAAACCTCGGTACATTTATTTCTTAAATGTTTTTTATAAGAATTGTACAGCTAATATTCTAAAATCTTTATTATAACTAGCCTCATTACTAAATTACGAGAATTGATATAATAAGAGAAATAAATTAAGAGAATTTAACTTAAATGATAAACGATATGCTACTTTCGCATTCGAAATAGGTCAGCTTCGCAAGTCGATGTAGTAATTCATAGTCCGTGTAGATGGCGCTGTTACAGAATTATTTTATTTGTAAAATGTTGTTTTAAAAGATTGCTACCTTAAAGTTGCCAATTTATTTGAAAAGCTCTAAAATGAAGTATTCAACTATTTATTTTGTATCTATCTATTGATTTAAGCTACTATGTTGTTTTAATGACACAATAATCTAAGAGCAAGTTCTTTCAAGTACTACAACAAACTGCGATGCTGACGCAGTTTATTCAATGGCGCTTTTATGATTGAAGCATAGGTTCCATACATTAAATGACAGTGCTTGATTTTGAGAAAAAATATATTATTTAGCTTAGCCTAACCATAGCTCTGACAAAATTGACCCAATACAATGTACCTGAAAGGTTAATATATAAAACACAGATAATCTATATGAAAATACGTGTGGGCGTATAATAACAAACACAAGATAAACCTCATCAAAATCATTATGTAAACAAGATAAACCATTGAAACTTCCTCATACGACATTACGACAAACGTTTCAACTGCGTAAGTCATCACCAGTACTTGTGATGAATGGAATTCTAAGGAGAAACAACTTACTTAGCAGCGAGCGCCTTTATGATGTTCTCTTCACGATGCCTGATGCACAGGTCGGAGTACTCCGCCGCCGAGGAGATGATCTCCAGCAGTCCACGGATCTTGGTCTTACTGGTGAGGGACAAGCTGAACAGCTCTGGAATTAAAGGGAACCATGTTTGAAATATTTTAACATATATTAACTAAAAGTGCTGTGTATGAAAGGATAAAAAGAATTTCATAGCCAGATTTTATCGAATGTGAACTGATAAAAGCTCTATTAAATAAAGAAATTGATTAATTTTAAAGCTTAACTAAATCAAAATGATTATAATGACTTCCCATATTTACGCAAACATTACAAATTGAATAAAACTATTTTTACGGATTTTTTTTTGCGTTTTATTCGTTATTTTTAACGCCCGACGTTTCGGTACTGAGGTTATTGACATAATATTCTTACTACAGATGTATTTAATGCAATAATATTTGTGTTGAGTAATTTTTTCAATGGATAACCGTGGCAAGATGTCATCACTTCCGATAGATGGCGGTACTATTTCGCTTAAGTCATTCTACACTACTCCGATGATATAACGATATACACATACTATTCCGATCAATGATATTATAAGAAAATGAAGCAGATAGGTTATACGCGCACCGTAAGTGGCACGTAAAAACTAAGCTAATTAGCAAACCTGAGCTCAGTCGTCGCCACTCGTCGCGCTATCGTCGCATCATTGACAACGGCGTTGATAGTAATTCGTGTTTTGTATTTGCACCGAAAATGCCGTCATATGTGATGAGATTTTGCACAAACTACACAGGAAAGGTTTCCAAAAGTCTAAAGGAATTTTTTCGTTTATTATTTGTTTAATTTATTTTCGTATTGTTTACGAATTCAAAAATTACGTATTTTAAAATATATTGTCAGAAACAATAGAGAGGGATAAAAATACCCCAATGAGTGAGTTTGAAAGAGAATAGATATTGTTTCTGATCAAAGATGATAAAAAACAGATAGGTCTCTTCTGAGTATCGTAATTCAAATTGTGTACATATAATTCTTGTTTTATTGAAGGGTAAATTAACTATGTCATTATTAATCAATAAGTTCACTTTATTTGTTTTGTAGCGTAACAAAACTGTATATACGTTCGTATATAAATAATTATTACAGCACTTTATTTGATAATAAATTAATAAAATCAATATTTTTTTCCTACTTTTAATGCATTTTTACTACTTTATTACTTTTAGTACGTACACTCATGAGCAATCGCGTTTTAGGCATAAATCACAGTGTACGGTATAATGTCATATCTGATTAATTATTCTACATTGTTCCTACTACATAAGACCACGTACTGTCGCAAAGTAAATTTGTCTCTTTTACGCTTGCGAAAGTTTAATCATGCCATCCTACTTTGACGTCTAATCGTAATGTAGTGTGATATTGCAATATTTAATTATTTATGTGTGCGCTAATGTGCCGTTATTGAAGATCGAATATTGTGTTGGTAACGTATCTACACCTTTTTACTTATAATATCATTGATTCCGATGATATCTCGGACGTCAGTTTAATCGATATTAAAATGGTTCTTCAGCACCTTAAAAACGACAAGGCTCCGTAGTAGTGACACCATGGAGGCGTGGACCAGAAGTGCGGTGGTCTTGTTCTTCAAGAAAGGTGACAACACTTTCTTGGAGAACTACAGACCGATTTCGATTCGTATTCTTAAAGTTTTTACTTTTTGTACTTTTGGTAATATCCGTTATTTCGTTAAACCACTTTTGATCTAATTAATATAAATATAACCAATATTAGAGAAAGAAACAATAATCTCTACACTTTTCTCACAAATAAACTTCCGCTCCATTAAATCTGTCAAATATTTCCCCTCATGCTTAAGTTGCACCGCCCTGGTGGCAGAAAGTCGCGGATGCCTTAATTAAAGCAAATTTTATTGGTTAGTTAAATTATTTATTTTTTTGTATTTACCAATAGTTCGTAAAATACCTGTCTTGCAAAGAACCAGCAAGAAACCCAGCTGGACTTTTTTAAGCAGTTATCAATAACATATTAAAACTTAAATATTTATTATACCATTACAGTCATCCATTCATCAGCCTACTCAAATTCCTCTGAACACAGGCTTCTTTCCCCCTTCTTATCATTTGCCATAGTTGCCACGTTTGGCACATATACCATCAGATAGTCTTCATCTTCATCATCATCATCATTACAGCTCTTCACAAGTCCACTGCTAAACATATGTCTCGTCCAAGAATTGCCACAGAGCACGGTCCTGAGCCACCTGCATCCATCGACTTCCTGCGTGTCTCACCAAATTACATACATTTTTTAGAAAATGAAAATAAAGTTTATGTCTAGAGGTCAAATACTCTTATTTATTTAAAAAAAAGTTTCCAAGCAACTAATAATATAGAGGGTAGAAGTAACCCTTTACCTCTACCATCTATATTACAATATACAATATATATAATATAAATATATACAAGTCTGAATATGTTTCGCAAACACTTGCAAAAAACCATAGCCGAGTTATAATTAAGTAATTGTTATGTTCATTTATATACTATGCTGTTATTGTTTCCTTTTTTCTCTTTCTTTTTCTTATTTATTGTGAACACATTAAGTCACTTATAAATATTGGAAGTTACTACCCTTAATATTTTGTGCATATAGTGTTTACCTTAATTAATTGTACATTTATTTGGCTGTATATGTTATTGTTAAATACTCATTGATGTATTATTGTTACAATTACTGGTAAACCTAATAAATAAAATAAAAATAAATATATTATAAACAAACTCCGTGGCTATGGTATAACGGCTCCGGGGCTTAACAATAAGCTGCGGCACTGAAGACCGCAGGTTCGAATCCCGCACGGATCTAGTATTTGTATGGCCTACAAATAATTGTTCCGGGTCTACACGTTTTTTCTTGTGAAATTTATGTATGTAAACTGCTGCCCCCATTATACATGAGAAAATCCTAGTGTAGAGCAGTTTTAAAATAAATAAATAAACAAACAGACTCACCGATGGTCGTGTAGTTGATATAGTAGTAGGAGGCGATCATGCCCAAGGAGGTTGTCCCTCGTCTTGGGCCTTCGGTTCGAGCTCAGACAGAGTCGTTTCCACCAACTCCGAAAGATGGTCCGATAAGTGTCTGAGAACAATTAGCAATTGGCTTAGGATTTATGGCAAGTAGCAATTATCCTGTTAGCTCGAGAGGCCACGTAATATGACATTCCCGTTCGCTCGCGACCGTAATGGCGGGAAAATTTGCAAATTAGCAAAATTTTTTGCTATATTGCAAATTTTGCTATATTTTCACTTTGAGACAATATTTATGGATAAAACTTACAGGAATTCTTGTTGAATGTATAAACTATTGAATAAAATTATTTTGGTTGCTAGAAATTATAATAAAATTCGTAAATTACCCTTTATAGCATAAGTAGTAGTATATATACTTCACTTTTAGTGACAAAATTACTACTAATTTGAATTCTACACTTTTGTTTTTGGAGAAATTTATATGAAAATGTTTGGAAATATGTATATTTTTATGTTTTATGTGTTTCTATTCGTTACTCATACCAAAATATTAAGGCACATGGCAGGTGGCTCAGGACCTTGCTTTATGGCATTCCTTGGGCTGTTGACGATGATATGGTAAGGATGGACGGTAAGTGGATACTGCACCTGATAGTCACAGTGTGATGGTGCAGGTGACCAACGGTAACTTGAAGCGAACACCACACCCGCAACCGAATTCAATCGAAGTATACATGTATTGTTATTGAGAGCTGAGATGAAATGCCTTGCTGCCTGTTATACTGGCACTTTTTATGGAATAAGTGATGGTAAGGAAAGTGGACGCTGTGGCCCAGATAGAATGCCTCGTCTACACTAATATTATAAAGAGGAAAGAATTGGTTGTTTGTTTGTTTGAATTGAATAGGCTCTGAAACTACTTAACCGATTTGAAAAATTCTTTCACCATTAGAATCCTACATTATTCCTGATGAACATATGCGATATAACGTTTTAAAAAAATTTAGGAACCCGTATGAAAACTTCGTTAATGTAACCCAAGGTGTGAAAAAAATACCAAAAATAAACCTTATATCGCGTACGCTGCGGAAACTATTGACAATAGAGCAAAGTGATGTGCTACAGTTTTATGGAGGACATCTGTCATCAGTCTGTAATACCATATGTCTAACTATTATAGTTATCTCACAATAACTACTTTTCCATGTTAAAATATTCAATAGTAACGTCGAAAAATCCTTATATCGCGTACACTGCCAGCACCATGCGATGCGGGTGTCACTGGGTTGTGGGAGGGTAGTCTATGTCACGTGTATATGCCGATAGATAAAAGTACTCCATTAATTTTGCTAATTTTTTCGCTAAAATGATTGAACTAAATGAGCGAGGTGTCATATCATGTCGCGCGGCAGAGACGCGTGATATACGCGGGTGAAACCGCGGGGTACAGCTAGTTTCTATTAAAAAGGGTTTCCGGTTCGCCACATATGAAACACAGCAGCATTGAGCTGGTGAACCACGCTTGTATTCTTTGAGAGTGGTCATTCCACAGTCGAGCCAACCAATTCGTGCTACAACCATACTATAGCGGCAGCGTGGCTCTACCACATACAAACAGTTACAGTAGTGGTGCAAGTGGCCAATGTTAACTTCAAGCAAAGGTAACACCATTGAAGTCTAAATATGTTACACCTGGGAGCTGATATGGAATGCTTAACTGTTTGATAAACTGGCAATTTTTTTATAGAATAAGGGTGACAAACAGATGGTAAGTGGATGCTGTGGCCCATATACATCTACATTTATCCATGATTAAGAATCAAAATGCACATGCGTTGTCACCCGTGAGGACTAGTTGTCTGAAGTCGGCCTTTATTATTCAATTAGTGTTATTTTTTAAAAAAATCAATGATAGGGATTGAACTCAGCTTGCTCGCAAACTGTAAAAAATTAAGGCAAACGTTTAAAACAATTTTTAATTTTGTGTACACTGAATGAAGCATGCCAGAATTTGTTTTTATTTATTCAAATGCAAAAAATTATAGAATAATTGCTGGTATCTCCATTAGGAGGATATAATGATTTTTGGAGCACAAAATGACAAAATAATCGCCAACACTTTTCCAAATGGCGCAAATGTATGACGTCATATACTGTTCTACGTCTCGGAACGAATCACCAGCATGTCGTCGATTCATGACGTCATTTGCAATGGACAGTACACTGGGTTCTATTTTGGAACATACCCTTATAAATGCCGTGGTAAATTAGGGGTTAATATGGCCGGATATCCGACACAATATGGCGACGGCACGTTAGTACAATATGGCGTCAATCGATGACGTCATTTGTATTCGGCAGTCATCGAGCATTTAACCTGAATAGAGTAGTAATGTGAGCCATCCAATTCCGAAACTGATCAGTGATTTGTCACTGATAAATAGCAATTCACGCTCGCCCTAAAACAGTACCTCACCAACATGTGATCTGTGTGTACGTCCCCCGATACTCCCGAAAATATTCAGTTTGGTATATTAAACCCCATAATGTCGTGTTGTTCTATTCGGTGGTGTGGAAAAAACAGCAAGACATCGAATTATAAAACAGACGGAATCACGTTTCATCGGTAAGTATCAATAAACTTTGATTTTGTTTCAATTTACATCCATTTAATACGGCTCAAGTTAAACTGGCCATAGTATGAATCACTTGGACGCTTGTCTATGCGTCTTGCTCTTACCTAGGTGTAACCAATATAAGCCATCTCATTTTATTTATTACGTGTTTACTAGTGCTGAGTCATAATCAAATTACCGGATTATACCGGTTTTTTTATTTTACCGGATATTGACCGGAAAAAGGTTATTTGTTTAAACAAATAAGTAGATGTAATAAATTGAATAAAAGCTATGATCGATAACTAAATAAACAAAAATATTGACATTTTGCGAGTTTTTCCTTAATTTTTCATATGATACAATAGTTTTATTTCATTAATTTTTTATAATTTCATTTATAGCCTTAAATTCAATTTTATTTCATTTATTACTATATTTTTTTTAAGTATGGAAGTTTCATTTAAAAGTTATTATTTCGAACACACATATAAATATACACACACATACTTACACCTCCATATACTCTTACCTAATAGTCTTAAATAAAAATTATATATAAATCCGTTATGTACCTACTTACCTGGTCCCATAATACTTACCTGACCTATAAGGGTTTCGTTTTTCTTTTTCAGGTACGAAACCATAAAAAAGTTTAGGCTTTATAACAACTTTCGCTCAAAACAACCTTTTGAATAATTTCAACATAAGATATATTATTTTAAGATATATTATTACAATCTACCGAAAAATAATGCGTTACATTGTAAGCAGTATGTTACGGGTTCACAATCTTTCAACAGTTTACATACTCGCGAGATAGATATTAAACTTACGATTACGATTTTTACGGTTTACGGTAACAAATATTTTATTGGACAGCTCTAGTGCAATACTTGACTTTGAATCGGCCAATCAGAGCGCAGCGACCGGCGCAGCGTTTTGGCGGAATTTGTTTTCTTACAAAACAAATAACAATACCGCTCTATTTCAGGTTAAATGCTCGATGTCGGCAGTATACTGGAAACGTTTTGGAACATACCCTTAATATTCATCATGCAATTTGTTATATAAGAAGTGGTAAACGTGCATGCGGCTCAACTAATGCTAAATGTCGTCCACCCACGAACAACTGCAACACATAACGAATTGCAGGTGCGCGGCCGCTTTTTTAATAACAAATGGTGAAATAAAAAACTGTACAACCGACTTCAATACAACCGAATCAATGTATTCAAAGTCGAATAACTACTCATTATTAGGGATAACTCAAAAACTACTGGTCAGATCTTGATCAGATTTATATGGAACCACATGAGAAGCACCAGCTTTCAAATAAAAAGAATCATCAAAATCGGTTCACCTAGAAAAAAGTTCTGAGGTAACACACATAAAAAACATACATTTGAACTGAATACCTCCACCTTTTTGAAGTCGGTTAAAGAGTAGGCTTTTTATGAAGGTCCCTACATCCGTAATTGTCCGAAAAAATAAATTCCATTTCTTTACGTGACAGAGTCACGCTGCAGCTATATTGTTGGTTGTATCATGATTGGGTCGGCTCGATCGAAGAAGGACCAGCCATTCAGCGTGGCGGGCGTTAAAATCACCAAGCATCACGATCTCTACGGATGGGACCTGTTGTAGCACGGAGTCT